TGACTAGGCAACAAAGGGCTTGTGACACTCTTTCTCCTTCCCTCCCTTCCTCTCTCCCTCCTTTCTTCTTTCTTTCTTTCTTTCTTTCTTTCTTTCTTTCTTTCTTTCTTTCTTTCTTTCTTTCTTTCTTTCTTTCTTTGCCTTCCATTCCCATCCCTTCCCTCCCCTCCTTTCCTTCTTTTCTCCTTTCTTCATTTTCTCTCTCTCTCTTCCTCTCTTTCTATTTTTATCGAATGCACTGTAACAGACATAACACACAGCACCACCGCAGCCACTTTTCAGGGTCCAGTTCCAATCATTCACGCCTGCACTGCCCTTCCGCTACATCCACATCACTGAGCAACCATCACCCGCCCGTCTCCAGCGCTGTCTGTGACATTCTCATCACCACCACCTCTGGGAGGCAGACACAAAATTGCCGACTTGTTTCTCCTGATAAAAATTCCACTTCAGTCCACAGATTTATATAATTTAGAGGGGTACATCTTGGTGTATGTTAATTACACACAAACAAAACTTATCAAAGACAAAGAAGGGGGATGCAGGGGGAATAGAAGGCACTGAAAATTGGGTCCCACGCTGCAGAGGGGCAGTGAGGGGGCGACAGAGATTCTATGAAATGTCAGGGGACTCTGTGGAGAGTTTGAAGACAAACATGCATTCACCACCCATTCACTGCCAACATCCTGAGCGTCTCTCCTCCAGATGTTTCAGAAATTCCTACTGGTCTATTGAAAGGAATAGTCAATGCTTACATTTATTTTTCTTTTCAGTTTTTTTGACCAATTTTGCATGCTTATATCTAGTAATCTGAGCAACTAATCTGAAGACAGCAATATGCAATATAACAATCATTGTTGGATTCCTACCATCTTATTTAGTGAATTGTATCGTTTCTAATGTTTTTTTTTTTTATTATTTTTCATTCTCTTTAAAATAAGAAAAAAATACAAACAAACAAAAAAAGGAAACTGTATTTTGCTGCATTAGAGATGGTTGAGAAAGCACAACTAGTGTTTTTTATAAAAAATCAAAAGCTCCAAATTAAGGCAGCAGCACACAGGATGGACATAAAGGTTGTACGGATTTTCACTTTTGCTCATTAACAGGGCCAGCATGAAAACACAGATTCTATTGTTTTATTCTTTTTTAAAAAATCACTTAAAGGGGCTGGGGTTTAGCTCAGCGGCAAAGTGCCTGCCTGGCAAGCGCAAGGTCGTGAGTTCTGTTCCCGGTACCGGAGAAAAAACCAAAAAAAAAAAAAAAAAAAATCACTTAAACTAATGGCTACTTTGGCCTGAATAAATTTTATGTGACACATTCAACAAGTGGTAAAATCCACCAGAAACAAAGAATCTGTTATACAGACAAAGTACATAAATGGAGCACATGCTACATTCAAGGTACTGTGATAAAAATAGTCTAATTAGATCAACTTCATTTTAGTGGGATGTCTATGATCTGTGTAGAGGGAAAGCTGTTACCCCACAAGACTCCTTTTGGGTGAAACTGGAGAGGACATGAGTGGTTATCAGCACAGGAAGTGGGTAAACAGATTGCGGGAAACCATACAGTGAAATATCATGAACCACATCTATATGTAGGAACCGGGAATGGTTTCAGAAACACACTTTTAAATGAAACATGAATTGCAGAATGAGCAGTATGATGACATTTATCTAAAAATATTTGCTTAATATCTCAGTAACTGTAGAGAAAAAGATCAGGGCAGAAAATACATGAGGGAATGACAAGGAAAGTAGAGGGAATGTCCAGTGTATGCTTTGTGGAGCAGTGGGAACACAACCGTATACCCCTGTGTACCTTGCTGAGAAAACCCATCTTATAGGTTAGTATACCAGGCAAGTACCTTGAATAATGTCACAGGCTTACAGGTTTTCCCTACAGTCTTTACTGGCAATTCAAATCATTTAATGATGATATTACTCATAATAACACCTAAGGCCATGAAGTGTGTGTTTTAATTTGCTAAAACATTTTTTGGGGGTGGTACTAGAGATTCAATCCCAAGTCTTCACATTGAGCTACACATCCAGACCTTTTTTATTTTTAAATTTTCAGACAGAATCTTGTTAGGTTGCTAAATTGCCCAGGCTGGACTCGAACCTGTGGTCCTACAGCCTGAGCATTCCAAAATGCTGGGATTACACGTGTGCGCTACCACATCCAACTAGAATGTAATTTTAAGTGACTGGTGTTACACGTATCAGAATATTTAAGATGAGAACATACTGGCTATTATTAGAGGTCTTTCCCTGACTTATGAGAAAACTAAGAGAAATGAGTAATGTATTTAATTTATTTTCACTTCAGTAACTGATTATAAGGTTACCTCTAGTCCTTTTTTGCAAATGAAAAAATCAACTTATAAAAATCTTTGCTATTACAGATTAAACACATTAAAATGGTACGCAAGTAATACCTTCAGATTTTTCAAGTTTTATGTGAAGTGTGTGCTGATGCCAGGAAAATAATTTGGCAATAACAGACACTGTCTGAGTCTTTGCTCTAACCATTTGACACAGTCAAGGGTTTTGTTTTCTGATTTCCAAATTAATATCTTCTAGAAACATGAAACTGAAAATTAGGCACAGAGTAGTGGGAGTCTTTTTGCATTTTTTTTTAATTTTAAAAAGAACATTGGAAAAATCCATTTACAGAAGAGCCTTTGACAATTGTCGCTCAGCTATAATAAAAAAGTTAATTTGAAACACTCTGTGGCACTTTCAGGGCCTCGTTCCAAATAGAATTTTTCAGACAGACTAAAATCATACTCTTCTCAACCTCAGCCCACTCCAAGTTAAAAAAGAAAAGGCAAGATAGTGGGTGCAAATGACTAGGCAGGGCCCCTGAGGGGCTGTCCGGAAAGTGACAGGCATGGTAGCTTCATGCAGAATGTCTCGATAAGAAGTCTAGACTATCTACAATCTGCCGATAGTGAGGAAAACCAGATTATTAAGAAAACTTCTGAATCCAACAGCTACAAGAGCACAAAACACTGTGAAACTTGGGATGGCATGCAGGAACACAATCATCTATGACCAGTAACTCCTATTGCGGATGCAAAAGCAGGGCAAAGAGGAAAGGGGAAAACATCTTTAAGTGGCAAAAGGAATTGTAAAAATACAAACAGGAAGAAGATAAAAACTACAGAATCCACTGCACTAACATAATCCTATGTTCTTAGCCAGAGCAGGTGAAGTTGAATATGCCAGCATAAATCAAGCATATGAATTATGGATAATTTTTGAACCTGTATATGAATTATGGATAATTTTTGAACCTACATTGATTTTAACTTCAATATACTGAATAAAATGTCAGTGACATCACCAAATTTCCCAAGGTCCTGCTGACTATTTTCTTCCTAAAGAGATAATACTGATGTGTTTAATATAAGCACATATCGTCTCACACCAAGGATCCACATTAAGGACACGTCAGCTTTGAAAACTTTGCCTACATCTCTTTCGATCACCTGTAAGACACCTTTAAAAAGACATCTTTGAGAGCTTCAGTGTGCGCCATGAGAAGCATCCTCCCCACAGACGCAGCCATCCCCCGGGCACACAGCTGGGCGAAGAGGCTGCCCCTTGTGCAGATGAGAAAAATGCATGACGGTTTCCAGGTGAGCCCCAGGAAGTGTGAGGGACGGAGGAGCAGGAGCTATGTTTCTGCCCCATTTACACCTTTGGCCGTAGCCTTGTGCACAGCTTGGGAAAAATCACCCTTTCTGGTACTTTAGCTACCAGATGAGTGACATGAGTCTGTCTGACCCCGATGACTCATTAGGAAAGATCAACAAGTTGGTAGAGAAGCCATCAGTCACGCTTCCAGGAATAAGCCACTTGTCTGAGCTGAATATTTTAAGAGATGATATAAGAAAAGGATCTCTGCCTTGATTACTATCTTTGCCAAGAGCTCAGAAACCGAACAGAATGAGATACTAAAACACTATAAACAATGAACAGAGAGTGACTATCCCTTTCTATTCCTTCATAGAATGACTGCTTAATTCTCTTTTGCTAAATATATTTGGAAACCCACTAATCACGTTAACGTCAAAGCCATACCTGAGCAGCAAACTGTTCTTAAGAAGAAACAATGAAGCGACCAGCAGCACTGGTATCAAACATTAAGTGCTTTTTCTATGTTTTCTTGGGCCCAGTCCTCTGGCAAGCACATCTATTTTATTTGTAGCTGAATCACCATCTTGGAAAATTGCTGGACAAAAAGAGTATGGACTCACTGCAACTTTTTAAATTATCTTTTTTGCTTCTGTCCCACTGCCCTGCTCACTCCCATATCTTCCCCATACAAGTGCTATACTAGTGTCTGATATCCCAGGATCAGTGCAAGAATGCTGAGGAAACCCAGATAGCACATGAGAAATAGGACAAGTAGTCAGGCCCTGTGCAAAGTCTAGATGTGGCTCAGTGCCCGCCAAGAAAGATGAGAATGTCTGCCGGGGGGCACCAGCCGCCATGGCCTCCAATTACTCCTGGAAAAGCAGGGTGTGAGTGACAGCAACACCCTCCTCCAGCCAGCCACACAAAGAAGCAGGGAGAGAGGCACCCGGCAATCAGGAGGGAGAAGGAGGGTGCAGGAGCAAGGCGTGGCTGGCAGCAAAGAAGGCTGAACCCTGGCTCTGGTTATCCAACACAAGGCTCAAGCCACAGAGGGTACAGCCAGCTTCCAGGGAGGCCACACAAGTCAAGTTTGCTGAATGATCCACTTTTGGAATACTCACAGCAGCGAAAATGAAATGTGATGTCTTGGAATTCTTGTTCCTTGAATTTTTCTAGGTAACATATTCAAATTTCATGCAAAAATTCAAAAAACATTCAGTAGTCTTCGGTGTAAGTGGGTTAATAAGTTGTAGCAGCATCTTTTCACTAATTTCACATTGACAAAACCCTTCCTTGAGACAACTTTACTTAAAGATGCCCCCCTCTGGGCAGAAAGGATGTCTTCCTTACCTCAATGATGTAGAGGACCACATTCTTGTAGAAGCAGTACAGTATGCACTTGGTCACCCGGTTGTAGCTCCAGGCTCCATGGACCAAGAGTAGCTTCTCCAAGTAGGAAAACTGAAAGAGGAGAACGCAGTCAGAGCCTGCTCTTGAGGAATGAAAGTCACAAAATGTCCTTACAAGCAGAAAACAGAGAACACAGGTAGAGGAAACCAGATTCTATAGGGTACCTCACAAATCCATCCCCTGAAGGGGGAGCTTTCAGGCCACAGAACAGCTGAATTCTCCCAAATCTACCCTAATTGTTATTATTTATAATTATTATTATTATTATTATTATTAAGGGTACACACGAACTGTCCCACTATCAATGTAATAATTATTATTATAATCTCCTAAATCTACGTAATCATTATTTTTTCCCAAAGATGCTGTAGGCTTCTCACGGCGACACTCACAGAATTCTACTGAAGATAATGCTTTTTTTATCGTCTTAATTATTAAAAATTACAACTTGAATTAGAAGAAAAGTACAGTGGGAATCAGACATCTCTCCACGGTGCAGTCATGGATTTTTAGGGTGACAACAGGAGCAGGACACAAGGGACACTCATGTAACAGTGCGTTTTTTTTTTAAAAAAGGTACGCAAGTGTACACACGAACTGTCCCACTGTCAGCCTGCAAGTTAAAAACATGTACACATAGGTACACACACAGACATATGGAGACAGAGGCACATAAACACACTCAGGGACACACACAGAGAAGACACAGACACCAACACACATACACAGATGTTCACACACAGAGATACACACAGTCACAACACGCACAAACTGCCTCCACTTCCACACACGTTTTGTTCTCATTGCGGCTCCAGCTGGTAACCCTCGCCAGAGTACTGAGCGCTTGTGGCAGCTAACTGGCTTGAAGTCAAGAGTGACACCATGGCTCGTGTAGGCTGAGATCGGAGCCAGCAACACTCCAACAAAATCTACAAGTCCTCTTTCAGGTCGGGGACCTTTGAATGACTTCTCTTTGGCCTCCCCATATCCTGACTCTGTCTTCTGTGTCCTATTCTCAGGAGGCCTAAAAAGTGTGAACCTTGAGCTGGAGGGAAGGAAGTGAGGTTCTTCCCCCATCTCGGTTTCATAGATCGCGTCATGATCTGACAGGAATACACTGTGAGGAGAAATTCTGTTTAAATTCACACCCTCTATGCATTCAAACGGCCTCACGCTAGGCTGAGACTCCCCTTGGCTCCTGCTGTGCTGGCACAGGGTGTTTTCCAAGGCTTCCTGTGTTAGACGTTCAGTCTCGGTGGGGGAGTTTTATGAGGCGAGCTAAGGGAACGTCCTCAGGAGGAGCTTGTTCTCTGGGACCCTGGTTACTTCCCGCAAGAGGGGCCTGGCTCCACCCTGCTCTTCACCTTCCGGTTTCCACTCATCCTCTTCCTTCTCACATGAGCTCCCACCACGATGGTATCCGCTCTCCATGTTGTACTGCAGCGAGGAGGCACTCACCAGAGCCAGCTGCTCAGAGTGAAAATCTTAATTCTTCCGTTCAGAGTCCCAGCGTCCCTGCCTCTGGGCAGTCTACAATGGTAACCCCTTAAGCTACCGGGAGAGACAGTCAGGCCTATTTGAGAACTTCTCAGAACACTAGAAATTCCTTTGCTATTGTCCATTTCCTATTATTTTTTTTTTTATTTTATGAAAAAACTAAAACAAAATTTCATAACAAAATAATAGGAGAATGACAGTAGTTAATATACTGCATACTGTTATCTCCAAAGTAGCTACTCAGAGTACAAGATATGGGCAAAAAATCTCTCCAAATGCTATTAGTACAAACCTTTCTTTTCAGTGAACTAAGAGAAATTAGTACTACAACCTGTTTGTATTTTTTTTCTTTTCCCTTCCTTCCTTCTCCTCTTCCCCCACCCTAGTTCCTCTTTCCTTTTGAACAATTTCTTCCTGTTTCACAATATACGTCGTGCATTTTGGTCCTTATTTACTCTTTCAGTTTCTCACACCAGGGAGATAATACGATGTTTACACATGTGAATCTGATTTATTTCACTTATGAGTATGGCCTCAAGTTGCATCCATTTATCTATAAATGTCTCACGTTTATCCTTCTTTATGGCCAAGCAGTACTCTATTGTATAAACAGACCACATCTTTTTTTGTCCATTCCTAGGCATTTGGGTTGTTTCCAAGATTTAGCTATTAGAAATTGCACTGCTATAAACATGGGAGGATATATATTGCTGTGCTATGGTGTTTTTAATTCTTCTGGGAAGATACTAAGAAAGAGAATAGCTGGGTCAAATGTAACCTCTAATCCTAGATTTTGAGGATTCACCACACTGATTTCCACAGTGGTTGTACTAGTCTATACTCCCACCAGCAGTGGAGAAAGGTTCCTTTTCCCCACAGCCCCACCAGCATTTGTTATTGGTTGATTTCTTGATGATAGCCATTCTTTCTGGGGTGAGATAAATCTTAGTGTTGTTTTAATTTGCATCTCTCGAATGACGAATAATGTTGAACATTTTTTCAGATATTTATTTGCCATTTGTATTTCTTCTTCTGAGAAGTGTGTATTCATTTCATATTTTTGGGTAGAGTCTTTGAAGTCGGGGGCTCTGATTTTTTTTTTATATGTTCTAGATATTAAACCTTTGTCAGAAGGACAACTGGCTAAAATTTTTCCCCACTCTGTGGGTTGTCTTTTCACTCTGTTGGTGATTTCTTTTGCTGTGCAAAAAAGCTTTTTAATAAGGTGAGATCCCAGTTGTTGATTCTTTGTAGTATTTCCCACACGGTCTGGGATTTGTTCATGAAGTCTCTGTCTACCCCTAATGTCTTTAAGATTTCTACCTCTTTTCTTTTCCAGTAGGTTTGGTGTTTCTGTTTCAATATTTAGATCTTTGATCCATTTTGATTTTAGTTTAGTGCATGGTCATAACACGGGTCTAGTTTCAGTCTTCAGCTGTTAGATAACCTTTGAAATTAAATTTAACTATCTGTAGAAAAGAAAGACCCTGAGTGAAAATAAAATACTTTAAGAAAATGTCAGGAGGAAACCGCATACTGGTTCCCATTAGAACTAAACGAGATGAGCTCCTGGGTGAAGTCACTTTTCAATGAGCTCTTGCAGAAGACGAGAAGGCAGGGCCGCTCATCCACGTACTTCAGAACTGAAGGGACAACTTCAAAGTGGCAGAAGTAGGTGTACATGGAAAAATAAAACTCTCCATAACGCTCATTAAGGATTCCAAAGGGGAATAAGGAAATCATAAGATAACTAGCTAAACAAATAAAAAGGAAGTTTGCATTTGACCTGGACCCCCTGGTGTTAAATTTCAATGGGCACTAGAACATCTGCTGGAGTCATCCTGAAGGCATCCACCTGAGTGTTAGGATGATTTGTTTCCAGGAAAAAAAAAATATATATCCTAAATCAAAATGCTGTCTTCATGAGGTCATTCAAAAGACATTAAGAAGGCAGGGGGCGGGATGGTTCTCTCCGGAGGAGAACAGGAAGCTGGGGCTGCAGGCACCGCGCTACACCTATGGCAGCCAAGGCCACGCAGGGACGGGCAGCCTCACGGTGAGGTTGTCGGTCCCGATGGCCCCTGTGCAGAAAAGCAAATGGCAAGCAGGAGAGAAACAGAACCGGAGCTCTGTCTACTTCACAGCTTTCCTAGGGCAAAGCTCAGAGCGAAGTATTTTTTCTCTGCTCTACATCACTTTACAGGGTATATCCTCAAAAATCCAATACAAATGTACTTGCCCCCATGTAAACAAACAGATAAAGCACACAACGTTAACTTCGGGGAAATTTATCATTTCCATGGGGCAAAGAGATGCCTCTGACGGTGGCACTTCTGGTGTAGAAATTAAGGAAGAAGCGGCACAGTGGAGGGTGAAGAGCTGGTAAGATAGGCCCAAACTCAGCCCTGAGATAACAGCATCCTCTCCTAATCACAAACAGGACCAGGAGCAGGAGAAACAAGGGCCTACAGACACGTGTAGCCACATCCATTCTTTCAGTAGAGTTGACCATTACTCTGACGGGCAAGAACAGCCCAGATGCAGTCATAAAGCCCTACCCCGTGGTCCGCCCTTCTCTGACATTTCAATTTAGGAGCATAATTGCTGCAGATCCCACGACCTATTAGTATGCAGTTTCCATACAACGAGTCATGGAATCTCCCTTCCCTGGACATTTTTAAAGGAAAAAAAAAAAAAACCAGACAAATATTTGCCTGGAACTCCTAGGAAACCTCTTAAGATCCCTTCCAGCCATATGATGTTATAACTCAAGTATTTAATAATGCTGGGATGTATAACATGCATGGTTGCTGACAGCATACAGGAAGCGTAAGTCCTATGGGTCTCTGAGCAGCTGACCCAGGAAGGTAACCGGGCAGGTGTGTAGGGAAGGCCAGGGTCTGCCTCTCTCCGACTCTGGCTGCGCTCAGGCCTGAAGAAAGTTACCTGATACAAAGGAACGCTGGCTTTCCCAACTGTAAAATCAGAATCCTTCCTCTTATCTAGTCTAGGAATTCTCTTTCGGATTTATTTGAAATCAACAAAGGAATAAGCTTGGTTTTGTGCACTTTTCAGAGCCATGTGGATGTTTGTAACTCCTCCCTGTGGCTGCAGAACACGGAGCTAGGAGGGAACTTGCGAGGTGATGCAACACAGAGCCCTCCTTCGGGGAGGCAGAGCTGCGAACCGCGGAGGACCGTCCCCCAGGCCCTGGGGTGCAGGGAGCTTGTTCGCGTTCTAGATGCAGACCGTGATTTCAGCCTGACTGTGTACACATGATTCAGATGAAAACATCCTTTAAAACTCTAAGGCCAGAAATAGGTGGGAGGTCTTGTTAACTGATAAGGCTACAGATACTGAGTCACAACTCACCGTCATCTGAAGACAGGAGACAGGAATGTCTCGGGATCTGGATTATCCAGAAGCCCAGTTATCTAGATAGAAACCTTTGGGGTCAGGAGTCTGCTCTTATCCCTCCCCTTTGAGGTGCCATTAAGAGATGAGCAAGTCTTTCATCCTCAGGCCACCTGTGCAGTCACCACGAAGGGCATCAAAAGCCTCTGCACACAACTCAGCTCATGTAGGAATGGGATAAACTTGGTGGACAGCAGGGGTTTGTTTGCTACTGACCCTGAGGTCACGGTGGCCTGACCCCGGCTCATGTGCACAGTAAGTCACCTCACAGCAGTGCTCACTGCTGAGCAGGGCTGTAGGTCACTGCCTTTCCCTGATGTGAGCACCTGGCAAGTGCACGCCAGCACCTCCAGGAAGGGGGCGGGTGCCAGGAGGCGATGGTAGGGAATGGCTGTTAACGGCGCAGCTGTCCTGCAGCAGGGAACAAGTCTGAGAAGCCTGTGCAGCAGAAGAAGGAGCGGCGGGTGAGAGAAAATACTGGCAGGACCGGGGAGCTCTTTGCCAGCAACAACACGACGCCTGGGTAACAGGGAAGCAGAGCAGCCCCATGCTGACCAGAAGAAACTAGACTGGCAATATGAGGCCTGTGGACTGCAGAAGATCAGAACAACGTCGAAATCTAAATGCATCACAATTCATCTACACAGCAACATCAACAAGGGCGGCGAAGTCCTTGGGGCTGGACTGTAGGAGAAGCACCAGGCCTCCATGCCTGGCTACCGCTGCTATCAACAAGACCAGACAGCTGGCCATCCACAAACTGACCTGCGCAATGGCGTAATCCGAGTTGTTGGTGGCTTGCATGCCTTCGTTCCCACTGATCCCCACTCCCACGTGGGCCGTCTGGATCATCCCGACGTCATTGGCACCGTCCCCAATGGCGAGAGTAATAGCCTTCACCCGCTTCTTCACTACGTCTACGATCTCAGACTTCTGCAGAGGAGACACCCTGTGAGAAGAGAAAGAAACGACGACGATGTGTGTCTTCCTAGAAGAGACAGCTGTAATCAACATTCCGCTGTTACAAGGGCAGTTGTTGGACGGTCTCCAGATCCAGTACATTTGTTTTATGCTCGTGTGCAAAGAAGCTTTTAGAAAACAGTAGCTGCGGCTTCCAAGTGTTTGCCAACTTCACAGATGAAATACACAACTCAAGACTAACTTAAAACACAGGCTATCTGCAATTGCCTTGCTCAGTGAGAGCATGCAAGCAAAATCTTCAGCGGGGAGCATGTGCCCTGAGGAACCATAAAGCCGGTTAAGACAGTTACAGGGTTCTTCAGAAATGCTTTCCTAATACACCAGCATGTTAGCACAGACTCACATCCGCCCTTTGCTGCACATCATATACAACCTAGGGCTGGGAAATAATTGTGTGTCAAACCTGCTTCTACAGAAGGAAGGAAAACTGGTGAAACTTGACAAAGGACAACCATAGAGCCAAGAAAGAGGAAAGAAGAAAGACTCGCCCATCTCCACCCAGAAGTAGAGATGTGTTTGAAGGGCAACCAGGGCAGAAGGATTGAGGAGCAGGAGTCCCAGCTGTGCATCTAGCATAGCTGGACTAGGCAGAAGCAAAGCCCAGAAGGGGAAGAGAAAAGTAGTCCGTATCTAGAGAGGCTGTCTCCACCAGGCATTGCAGGAGGCAGCAGGATTTTCATGGTTTCTCCAGCTATTTGAAAAGAAGGCCTAGAAGGCCTAATCTGTGCATCTAAAGTGCGCCAATATTAATTATAACGAAGTGTTTAACCAGAGTATGAGACCAAACTGTCCAACAGCATGGAAAAATGCTAGTGTCCCAGGACTGATTTATTTTAAATTCTGAATTGGTACACTGATATCTGATTTGGGGAATTCACAAGTAAACTCCTCAGTCAGTTACACACACACACACACACACACACACACACACACACACACACAGGGGAGGGGGCACAATAACCAAAACCCTTTTTCCAGTTTCCCAGAGGTATACTGGCTGCACTTGTGGACTGTACTTGTAACCTAAAACGTACAACAACGTGCCCAGTGAGAACTACGATGGTGCATATGGCCTCCACTCACAAAGATATCTGCTCCTAACAGAAAACCAGTGCTACCCTACATTTCATTTTACCACTGTGGAAAGCCTACTGGTGAGACAGTAAGCTAAATGCAGCACAGCTTTTGCTATACTCAGCGACAAAGTTATAAACATGAGAAAAACAATTGTAAGAGTTTAAAGGGCGTGAGAAAGGAGGTTGTGCAATCGAGCATCCCCTTTATCTGTTTCACAAGGGTTGGCAACAGCAGCAAGTCGGTGCCTCCTGGAGTAGCTGCAACCACTAAAAGGTATTACTTTCTCCTTTGTTGTTATTGCACGTATTTAAAAGTACCCATTCTACCTTTGGCGAGGCCAGGATAAGTATAAACCCTCTTCTGTGTATTTGGAAGGCTTAAATATAAAGACATCTATCACATTCTTCTTTTTAAAGCTCAGTTACGGCTAACTAAATACTCCCAGTTTCTTCAACACTTATTTAATAGGCGAATTTCAGAAATTAAAAACAGCTGTAAGCAAAACAGTGGGCCTTAGACTGACTTTCATGCAGTCTAAAATGAAGTCCCGGGAAGCTCTACTACTTATCCCAGCCACTAGTCACTCTGGCCTTTCTAACAGAAGGAATATGAAGCTGAATCTATTCCTCTGCGCTTGTGCAACTGTCACTTGGAGCCAAGGCCTGGTCTTTTTGGCAGAGGTCGTGCACAATTCCTATTCCATTTTTAACTCAATAAATCAGGGATCAAATATGTTGGGTAGAAAACAGCCCAGGAATCAGAATTCAATACCTGAGTCTGACTTTTTCTGTGCCCCGTCTAACCACGCAAGCAGGGAAGAGATCCTGAGTCTTTTCCTCCAGGGAATGAGGGAAATGAGAACCGCCTACCTCCTGAGATGGTCTTGATGTAACAATGTGAAGTCATCACGCTACCTGCCAAGGTGGAACAGCAGTCATCTCCCACTCCACCTGGCATGGAGCTATCTGCAAAATCTTAGTTGTTGAAGAAAAAATGGACTGCTGAGAATTTCATGGCCTTTGATCCAGGGCTCCCAGTGTGTGTGTGTGTGTGTGTGTGTGTGTGTGTGTGTGTGTGTTTGTGTGTGTGTACACACACATGTGTAGGTACCTCGGAGGTGTTTGCAGCTGCAGGAAGTTTTAAATACTAAGGGAAATACAACAGTATCGCTTCTCCTGGGTAATAGTGCGAAATACTAGTGGAAGTTGCTGAAAATTTCAACACTAGATCATGCTACATTTCTTTTCATGACATATCTTCATGACAGTGAGTTCTCATGGTTACAATTATAAGAAGCAAATACTTTGTGAGAGTCAGTGTGTAACAGGGAATGAGAGAGGTGGCATCTTGTGCTACTCTAAGTTTGAGAAACTGGGCGGTGCTTAACAGGCCCACCGTAGTACACCACTGGAAAGTGGTTGTAATTATTTAAGGATGGAGGGAATAAATGTTTTTCTTTTAATGCACTGTTGTCTCAAATTTCTACTAAATTGTTAGGCCATAAATACTTAAATGATTTGGCCTTTCCTACTTCAAACTTTGAAATGGTTTCTTTTGGCCTAGGAGTTTTAGGAATTGTGGAGATGCTAAGGGCAATGGCACGGGAAAAGCTGGAAGCCTCTACAGGAACCACTTCTCTCCATGATTGCATCAATTGCCCTTTAAGTATGATCATTCCCTCGCTCAGGTGGAGCTTCTCCTGAGCAGACTGTCGTGTAACTTTCAACTTTCTTCTGCACTCGGGAAGATAACACAAAAGAACAGGGAACAGGGACTCACATCACTCTATAGAGCCTTTTGCTGCCACTTCTCAATATACATATCACCAAATCAAGCGTCCTGGTATTTTCCTGGCAAACCTGAGCTGGTGTGGAGAAAAAAAATGCCCACCAGCAAGGATGCATGGCACTTCACACCCGAGGGGGCTGAAAAAATCATGGAGGTGGAACAGGGAAGGAACTACACAGGTAAGGGTGCTCTTCAAAGTGCTCTTTAAAACTCTTGGTTTTCATGAGAGGGTGCTATTGCTTGGATCTGATGTGTCCCACATAAGTCCATGTGTTAAGGGCTCAGAGACCAGCATGGAGATATTCTGAGGTGGTGGAGCCTTTAAGAGCTCATTGGGGGTCTGCTCTCCAGGGACAGTGGGGCCCCTTCCTCTCATTTTTGCTTTCCAGCCCCAAGATGAATGGCACTGGTCTGCTACACACTCCCCGTTATTATTTACTGACTTGCCAGGGGCTCACAACAACATAACCAACCCACCATGGGCTGAAACCACCAAAACCGCGAGCCAAATTAAACCTTTCCTCCTAACAAGTTCATTATCTCAGATATTTTGTTATAGTAAAAAGCAAGCTGGCCAACAGAGTTTAGTGATAAGCCAACCAATAGGAGAGAAGCTAGAAGTCAACCAGATTCACTAAGTCTACGCTTTGAGGATTTGGATATCATATAAGCCAGTGATTCTGAGGGCTGACAGCACGTTCAGCGAATATCTAACATCCGCCTTTTTCCAGAGAGCAAAAGTAAGGGGTAAATAAAGCAAGTCAGATCCCAGCACTTTAGGAGCATGGACTTATTAAACCATGGATTTACTATGCCCTCACCTGTAATGCCTTGAGAAAACATAATCTAGCACACACTAAGGGTTCAAAGCAGATGTCAACCGGCTGATTTCTGCAGAACTGAACCATTATGCTTTAGTCATATGTATTATTTTAGTATGCCAAATTACCAAAAAGCACAAACTAGCTTTCTTAATCTTCATTTGTGACCTGGAATGACATGCCACACCTGACAGGCATTCCCAGCATATAATGCATTCATCCCATAAAATAAGAACTCCAGACCATATCTGAGCTGAGTGAGGTACAAGAGCTATTACTATAATCTATCTGGATACATTATGAATCAAAATATAAATGCAAAGAATTCAGCTGGAGGGGTAGTCTCTCCACTTTACTGGCTAACACAAATTCTGAAATGAGAAGTTTTTCTTGTGTGACTTGAAAAAAATCTCAGTATCTAGAGGTATACCATTTTATGGGGTATGTGTTCCTAATATGTAAAAACTAGCTCTAAATTCATTTCAAATAAAATTTTATTTAAGTGAAACCAAGGGCAAGTGCTTTTATAGAATTAATAGTCATTCATTAATTTATCTGATACACAAAAGCCTGGCCTCAGAGTGAGTTTCTCTGTTCCGATCTTGTAGCACACTGGGAGCAAACTTAAGTGAATTCCTTACCTTCTCAAAACTCAGCCGCTCAGAATGCCAGAGTGCTGGATATAGATTATGTATTTGAACAGTGAGTTCACCTGAGCTGGAGGGGTACAAGGAAATCCACCCAAGAGCATCCAAGAGAAAGTCAGACCCCAAACACTTGCTCGTTAACCAGATTCACTAAAGGCTTTCACTGACTGGACTTCCAAGTATCTTTACTCCAGACTCACAGTCCTCGGGACCAGAGGGGAGTTTGACGACCTCCAGCCTAACCAATGAGTCTCAAACTTTTATGAATATCACGATCACTGGGAGAGCATGTAAAGACACAGACCCAGGCTCAGGGAGCTGGAGGTGCGACCTGTGAATGTGGATTCTGAACCAGCTGCTAGCGATGCTGACTCTGCTTGCCTGGACACGCACTGAAGTAGTTGATGCGGGCCTGGATCCATCCTTTCAGTTCAAGCTTTTAGTTAAGCTTAAATTATAAAAAAAAATTCTATAGTGATTAGCAGAAACACTGACATGTCCTTTCTTTCAAGTCACACACACACACACACACACACACACACACACACACACGGGTTCTTCTTTATTTTTAAACTTTACTAGTAAGTATAAATTTTCATTGATTATTTAAAATATTTTTTTAATCTGGGTGCCTC